ATACTATAAATTCCCTCCACATCCCCCTCTCTCGCGCAGTCGCCATGCACTGACTGTGACTCTAGCTGATAAATCTCCTGCGGATACGATGCGCTCTCGAGCCTGAGTTAGTCAACAATTACGTGCAGCGGTCTTTCAGCAGCCTGTCGGCATAGACGCAGTGCTGCGAAGTCACCCGTGCGGCAGTTGTTTTCCCAGAAGTGGCACTTGATCTGGAAAGGGCACAGGGCAAAAGGGTGGGGCAAAGTCCTCGCACAGAGTGCCTCCACAAATATACCATAGATGGTTAAGTAAAAATCCCTGCACAGACTGCCTCAACAAATATACCATAGATGGTTAAGTAAAAACCCTTCACTGTCTGAAAGCATGACTCCTGATTGACTAAGTCTGTTCAGGAACTGTGATATTGTGTACATGGAATATAAATATATGCGTGCAATATTATGAATATCCTGTCCAATATGTTTGTATGATGATTTTAAATACATGCATTCTAAAACTGAGAGTGTGAAAACTTTGCATATTTTAAAATATATGATTTGCATTTTGACATAAATAAAAAATGTATACATTTAATGCTGTAGTTCATACTTGCCATAAAATGACATATATTTCTAAACTGTAAACAGATGAGCAGATGGCCAATTGGCTCTTTCTGCAAGTTCTCCCTTGGAGGTGGTTCAAAGTGACATCATGAGTGCAGTTCTCAGGAGTGTTTTGTGTGTGTGTGTGTGCGTGTGTGTGTGTGTGTGTGTGTGTGTGTGTGTGTGTGTGTGTGTGTGTGTGTGTGTGCACATACAATGTGTCACTGTAACAAAATGGGCCTGTGACTGCACTCCTCAGAGTACAGCCAATCTACCCCCTCCCCGGACAGTTAAACAGATCATTTTTTCACAACAGTAATACTGAGGGCTGAGGTTGATGGTTCCCAGTCAGATGATATGGAGGACCTGTGCTTGACATCCTCAGCCTGAGATCGCACTTATTTTCCCACGTAGTGGCTTGAGAGCTTCCCAATCCATTCCCCCATGTTCTCCCCCACCACTCTGTGCTCCAGCAGGACGCTGGGAAGAGTAAGTCCCATGGCGAGGCACACCTGCTAGCTTTTTTTTTTTTTTTTTTGGGGTGCTTCAGTGGTTCTGGAGTGGGCTCCTATCCCTGGTTAAAAGCCCTTGAATCAGCTCTTAATCTCTCTCAAGTGTTTGTGTGTCTCCCTTCCTGTCTCTCAAAGGGACACATTAGCCAATATTTTCAATGAAGGTGTTTTTTCCCCCTAGCTGATGTAAAATTCATTAATGTGATTGACCATGGGAGTTGAATTATGAGGTTGGTGTGCATTCAGAAACAACATTCAGCAACTAAGTTGAATTAACAGGAATCTGAATATAAAGTCAGGCTGTCCACAAACTGAAAACAAACAAAAAAAAAGCAGAATTACTTGATTACCTTAACAGTGATGGTAAAACAGAAAGAAACAGTGGAATTTCATAAACAGAGGCAATGTGTTTTCCCTCCTGCCATTTGTCGGTCCCTTGTTTTGAACTGCAGTATGTTTTAGGCATGCTGAATTTTTTAACCAACTATCTAGATATATTTTTTTCTCTATGGGTGATGCATCGATTTGTTTAAAAGGGATGCAGAAAGTAAACTGTCTAAATATAAGCAAAGTGATGCCACTTAATATATGTAACCATAACATAACACATTGAAATAGGCCAAAATGTAAAATATCATATGAATCAAGACATAAATACTTCTAAAAGCTGAAATAAGCCGCAGATTTCAGAGTGAATGCTTGACAATGACATATACTTTCTGCAACTTGTGGATTTCACGTACGATGCATTTTTACACAAGTCTCAAATCAGATCCTCTGGTAGCATGCTTAGACCTTTGTTGATAGCTACTGCAAGTATATCCAGATAGCTGTTTAAATTTCAAACTGGCCTGATCAAAATGAATATACAAGCCAGTTAAACTGGACAAACTGCTACCAAGTACCTTATATGGTCACAATAAGTCCAGTTCATGTGGTTTTGTAATATGAATAATTATAGCTGTACTGCCCTGCAAGAATTAAATAGTATTGATGGCTAATATTTACATAAACTACACTGCATTTGTTAAATAGATGGTGGCTAAGCACTGAAAAGCAAAGCATCACTACTTAGCTAGCCTCTAACAGAATTACAGCTTTGTTTTTATGCTACATCACCTATGACGGTAGCAAGCAGAAAGCAAATAATAACAGTAATGACAATAATAATAAAAAACATGTCCTATGTTGATGACATAGCTTTGGACATTTTATTTAGCTTCAATAACATATGCAACAGTTTCAGTGAACTTTTTGCATTTATTTATTATTGTATATCTGTGTCAAAAAAATAACAGAATGTTAGAAATGCCTCTGGGGTGCTGCCAATTCCTCTGCATCCTCATTTCTAACAAACTTGAGTATATCTGTGAATATCTATTACCCCTGCCCTCATAAGAAAATAAGGGACAGTTTCAGCACGCCGGCTTTAATGACTTGAAATTCAAGACCTGGGGTTGTTCTGACATCTGACAGATGAGGTTTTTTTTGTTGTTTATTTTCTCAGGCTTGCCTTTTTTTGAAATTGCCTTTTTCTGGGATGTTATTTTACTGACATAAGTCTTTATTTTTGGGGAGCTTGTTTTCATTTCACACCCCACCAATATTCTGCATTGGCTTTACATCGGAGGATATATAGTCATACATAGAGTTAATTGAATTTTTAATTATTGAGCTTTGAAACACACTTTGTTTGCGGAATGCCAACTGGGAGACAAATAATCCCCAATGCACTGTGTGGGAATTAGAAGACTTTCGATGCCTTTCCGTGACAGCTCGAGCCTAACACGATTTATTGGGCGACCGTCGAAACCCCATGTGGTGAGACACTCCGCTTCTCCTTAATCAACAAGCCATTAACATTTAATGCTGTCGTCACCTCTGATAAGCGCACGTCTAGCCTGAGCTGAAGTGAGGGAGGCAGCTTTCATTTGCATCACTTTCAACCAGTCTTGAATATGAATGAATAATTGAAAAAGAAGAAAATTAAATGGACCGGAGCTGTATCAGGTTGCTAATGCAAGTTCCCTTACACATCTGATCTAGGATGCCAAATGCATTCCATAAACAGGATTGAAGAAGAAAGTTGGCAAGTTTAAAAATCTTATGTTAACAAAATAACATAACCATAATGACCATAAAATATTATGGTTATCTCATGGGCCATGAAGAAAAAGTTGGGAAAACTAAGTTGTATGTTTTTGCAGGCACAGCCCAAAAACCATATGATACTGTATTGAGAACATTGTGAAAAATGTACAGTTCAGTTTGTGGAATGTTCAATTTACGTGCATATGACATTAAGTTATCAGAGAAATACAAATTAATTATTGTGCATGCCATAAAGGAAAAACCAACCATTGCACATCGTAACTGAATAAACTGACCAGTTTTTATGTACAATAAGAGCCTATTAGTTACAAAATACTGATTGATTCAACACACTAATGCTAGAAACTGTAGTATAAATGTATATGAATGCAGGCTTAAATAAAACATTTAAATATTTACTATTTAATAATCCCCATTATATCACTTAATAGATCAGTGTAGAAACATACTGTCTCAAGTAGATAAAGAGGATAATAGGAGAAACCATATTTGACTGTGCTGTTTGTTTAGTTTTCACTTCATCTTGTATTAACTGTTGAGCAATTTTGTGAAGTGGAAAAAGGCCACAGTCCTGAGTTTTTGTGTCTCAGCACAGTTTTTTATGTAAAATTTTGTACCTTTTCACCTTTTTGAAAACTAGACCCAGTGATATTCAAACTGTGCTCACAACTCATATTCAACATGCGATCCAAATCACTTCGGTCAATTCCCCCTGTCCCACCCTCTAGCTACCAAAGATAGCAAGCCCAGAATGAACATGTGTGCACGTATCTGACGTGGGGTTTTGGAACAGTGAGCCCTTTGTAAGCTGGGGCACGAAAGGATGAGGAGTATGTTGGTTTTCATGTTGGCTTTGGCATTTTGCTGGTTGCGGTAACAGCCAGACTGTCCAGCTGGGCTCCTGATGTTGCGTGCCTTTTGGGCACCCAGTCAGTAGGCTTGGCATTGCGCTGTGTCACAGCCTCACGGGAGACTAAATGACTGTGCTGCTCTGTGCCACGATGTGAAAAGACTTCCTGCTGAGTGCCTCAGTCGATACTTTCTGAGGCATTCCTGCGGTAGCTTCTCCTTTCACAGGATCATTTTTTATACGTGTTAGTGAGCAGGTTGAACAACATGCTGCTATTTTTATCTTTGTTTGTGGGCTCAGGATATTACCAAAGTGGGCTGTCAGAAACATTAACTGGGGAGCGTTTGGCAAGAGAGTTTCACCTTTCTTCACAAGGTCCATCTCATGTGTGTGTATGCCTGTAGGTATTGCTTGTGCTTGTGAAAAAAGAAAGTTTGACTGCAGAGTCTGCATTAACACAAATGTGTCTAGAGAGCTGAGAATACCATAGACCAGAAGTGTCCAATCCTATTCCCTTCAGATTCATGGCCCTGTGGGTTTTAACAATATACTTCTATCAGCAGCTGACTGACACCTAGTCAACAGGTAATTCAAACTCTGTTCCAATTAATGGTTGTAAACATGTATTGGTACACAAAACGGAATAAAGACCAGATCCCATGGATGCCTGGTGGACACAACTGAGGAATAAGAAAACTGAGTAATTGCATTATTGTTATTTAGCAGATGCTCTTATCCAGAGCGACTTACATAGGTTACAATTTTTATATGTCATCCATTTATACAGCTGGATATTTAGTGAGGCAATTGTGGGTTAAGTACCTTGCCAAAGAGTACAGCAGCAGTGCAGCAGCATGGAATTGGACCAGTAACATTTTGGTTACAAGCCTTGCACTGTACCACTATGTTACACTGTCACCCATACAGCCAGTGGAACCAGAAAAGCACTGCTGGCATTTGAACCCAGGATATTCTGTTTATTAGACAGGCACTTTTACCAGTTAAGCCACAGCATCCTGTAATTATGCACTAATAAATGCGTTCTTAATGCCATGCACATTCAAGCACGTTTGTGCTGGGGTTCAGTATGTATATATTTTCTATGAAATATAAAGAATGGATTTTACCACTATTGCAAACAAGTAGCTGTTTTCATCCTTCGTGTAGCAGCACACATTGAAAATCAGACAGCAGATGTAATTAATGCAGGACGTGCATCAATACAGGCTATTCTAAAACTGCCAATATCAAGTAGGACCTTTTGAAAAGTGGGGGGATACTTGTGGTTTATCAGCATTGTTCATGTGTCAGCTTACAAGTGAAACCTTGATGCGTGCTTTGTGCTCGGGGAGTGTGCGCGTCTGCGCGGCTGAAAGTGTGCGCTCATTCAGCTGAGACACAATAGCAGCAGCAGCCACTTACCGCACTCCGCCGCAGTATGGACCCTGGATGGGACGCTGCAGCACTGATGAGGAAAAGAAAAATGCATATGGAAATATCGCGCCTCGTCCATTAGCAGCTTGCTGCATGTGAGGCGGGTTGCGTTCAGAACACCCGAGCGCCAATCGATATCTGATTCTTAACAACCCCTTTCAACAACAGCGCCTTTGGACGATTTGGATTTGTTTCACACAGCGTTTTGCTCTTTGTTATTTTTTTTTCTCATAACATATTTCCTGCTGTGCGTTTGAAAGAAGGCTTCTTGCACATTGATAATTTAATCTGTGGGTTTTTCCATTTTCTCTGTAAATGTCTCCCTTTGGGAGCGGGGAGTGGTGGCGGTGGGGGGGGGGGTGGCGGTGGTGGGGAGGGTTGTAAACACCAACACACTGTTCCGATAATAAGAAAATCTTTGCTATAGCGATGAACAAACAGTCTTCTAGTGACAGTGCTCTGTCTGAGCAGAGGACTGCAGGAGGAGGCGTTCGTCACAGAAAGCTCGCTGTATGCTTGCCACACAAGTCATTAGCGGTACACGAACAGCAAGGAGCCTGCAACGGGGGTGGTGGAGGTGGAGGACTCCTTTTAGGACAGTTGTACTCATAATGATGCGCCCAAACCCTTCAGGGCCCATGTTATATATCCTTCCTCTAAGATGCCATCCTGTGTGGTCTGAAAATACAATTTCCAACTTCCTTGAAAGCACTTGGTTAAAAATAGCTGCTAGTTATAAAACAGTCTCAGTTACCTGCTCCTGTTGGACCCCCCTTTGATGGCACATAGAGCTGGACAGCAGTGAGGTTTATGTCATTGTAAATGGTACGCTGGCAATCAAGGTTTGTGCTTGCCGCCTTGATCTGCTCGGAAAAACCCACCCGAGGTGCAACGCTTTGCCACATGGCATCAGCGGAGAGACTTTGAACCAGTCTGTGACAGGTTACCAGCTCTCATAAACAGAAGTTCTGTCACAGATTGCTGTGGATTATAGCACGCTCATGGGCCATTCAATTTCCACGCTTAGAAGCCCTTCATTCTGCTGCAAACCTGAAATAACAGGTGTCTGCCAAATGATGATCCAAGATAGCCAATAAAAGACAATTTCTCATCTAGGTTTTGGCATTTCAATTTCCCCCGAAGATTGATTTATCACAGAGTGGTCATTCGGCTGAAAGCTCACCAACAATGACATTTTCCCAATTCATCTCGTCTGCTGCTTCGCCTGCGTGAACATGGCATGGTCCAGTGGAAACAGGGGGCCTGGAGTGTCACTGGTCACCAGGGCTGTACAGCATGGCTGGCTGACACGGTGGGGACTGTTGGCAATCTATGCAGGCTGTGGTAGTATTCCATGGGCTCACAATCATGCACCTCTCCCTCTCATCGTTCCCAGTGGAGACTACACAGTCCATATGCTTACCATAGCCATTCCTGTTAACATCAATGCAATGATACCTGCTGGTGGAGAAGGGGAGGGGGGATTTTTGTTTGGAAGATTTGTGGGAGAGGGGATGATTTTTGGTCTTGACAACCATGGTAAAAACTAGAAATGATGCTTTAATTTTCACAAATATGAATTTATCTTGAAATTCTATTGCCACGGGGGGATAAGGAGTACCTCTAATTAAGCCGCCATTGAAAGGTAAAGGTCCATATCCAGTCAGTGCAGGTTCTGATAATTTGGATGGGTTGGCAGAGAGAAAGTGCTTAATTTTTTCTGTGCCATTTCTCATTCAGTGGCTGTCTTGTTTCCTCACTTGCTGCCTCCAAGTCTACAGGCAACAACAGCATTTCCTTTTCCCCTGCAGTGGAGCATCTAAGCCCTGCTCTCCCTCCAGAAGACATAGATCCCTTTTACCCTGATGGGATCTGGTATATAAACTCCAAGCTTTTCAAAACACTCCCACTGAGAAGGCATTCTCTGACACAAAACTCTGTAGGAAGTCCAGTCTCTACTAGGTAAAAAGAGGGTGTTACATAGAAACACTGCATAAGTGTAGTCTTCAATAAGCACTGCCGTCTTTTACAGGTGAACCTCACAGTGGGATGCATATTCTGAGTGAGCGGCCAGTCTTGAAATCAGATCTTTCACTCAAATCAGCATTGTGTGACACTTTAGGATTCATGTGATATTCCTTTTTTCCTTACCACCAAATTTCTCACTTTACAAACAGAGGTCTCGTCAAAACAACAAAGTGTCACCACTGCTGCTTTGCAGGGACTTGTAAGTATTTTCTTGTCAAAGAGCAGCATGGGTACATTTTTAGACAACACCTTTGCGTGACTCAAAGGAGATGCCCTTCAGAAGTTAAGAGGCAGGTGACGGAAGTGCTGTCTAAAATTCACGGTCTGCCACACTGAATGTTGGATACACAGCATGCTGGGTCAGTGCACTCGGTATTTGTATCATTGGCAAAGGAGATTCCAGGTTGAGGACATGTCTTTCAGAGACTGAGTCATACCTACAATGACAAGTTCAGCAGAACAAAGCTTCCAGACTATTCACTCTTCATGGCTTTCTGCTATTCATTAACAAATGCATGACAAAAGGAGGTAGATCTCATCTACCGCGATGGGTGACATTTGTGTTTGGCTTGGAGTCAGGGGAAGGAATTGCACCTGGCTGTCATGGTGACCCCCATCAGAATGGAGAAGAGGAAATGGGGAGTATTAGGGAGGAAAAAGAGGCAGAGGTGGGGATGCCAGGTAGGTGAGAGCTTTTATATCTTTTAAAATGTGTCGTATTTGTGTGTGTGTGTGTGCGTGTGTGTGTGTGTGTGTGTGTGTGTGTGTGTGTGTGTGTGTGTGTGTGTGTGTGTGTGTGTGTGTGTGTATTTGAAAAATAGGGGAATAGTTTAAAAAAATACTCCAAAAAGTTAAAAAAAAAAAAGTATTAGGGGCAGAAGCAATTACATTTCAGAATGGCTTTGCATGGATTTGGAAAATGTGGCAGTAAGGTACCGGAAGTTTAGACCACGTCAGTTAAGTCTGCTGAACACTGTCCCTACTTGAACCTGTGCAATGTGGCAGCCCAGACATAAATAAACCCTGACATGGAGCGTATGTTCAGTTCACCCGCCTTGTTGCCTGAAGGCTTATTAATGCAGACACAGTGATCTGGTTCTTTGCCTTGTTACGGCGATGAGGGAAAAAAAAAAAAATTCAAAGATAAGACAGTAATTTGAAAATTTGCTGAAAAATACGCTGACAAGTAGTCACCGCAGAGTAATATTAATTTTCACATCCTGACAATTTTTTGGTCTGGAAGACAAGAGCTTGTGGTGTTAGTCTGAGATTATGTCAAATGGGGAATGTTTTTTTTTTATTATTATTTTACAGAGGCTTAATTAGTTTGCATTAGTGACATACAGTATACTTATACTTTTCATATTTTAGAAGCAGTCAAAAGGCAAAAAGTAGAAAGCAATACTGAAATAATGAGGAAAAACTTTCCTCTCACACATCAGTACTACTACTGCAATTCAACAAGTTTCTCTATGTTTGAGCAACCTTTAACATATGTGCACAAAGTGGAATACATTATATCAGGAGAGTGAGGCTTCATTAACCTTGGAATGGGTGGATAGACCGTGATGGCTCTGCCCATTTTGGAGTTCATTAAACCTCACTGTTCCGCCACTAGTGTGAATCTGACAAAGAGTCGGAATCCTGATAATCCCGGTGCTAATGTTAACTGCGCTTTCAGAACAGGCCTCTCTCTGTATTGATGCTGTTGCAGGAGTGGCAGTCATGAGTTCCATCTCCTAACATTGTCCAATTCATTTATTCTTTGATAAATGTATCAGCCCTTTCTGAATGCGGCCCTCTGCATATTTCCCTGGAGGCCTGAAATAATGCTGCTTTCTTGATGACATCTGCTGCCTGCTGTAGAGCGAGCTGGCTGCAGCCCCAGTCCTTTAGCATGTCCTAATCAAGGCAGAGCAAGGCATTGATGGACAAATGTTTACCCCCGTGGGCTGGACTACTCAAATGATACTTGGCACAAATGTTAATATTGAACCCCAGCCTCCACTCTTCAAAGTTTCTGCACAAGAATTAAGCCATTTGTTGTGTACACATCTTTCTCACTTTACTCTTCTCCCAGCATAATTTACCAAAGCAACACTCTTCACAGTTGGTTGATGAGTTCCCCTCCCATTTGTAATCTTCATCAAAGTACACAAAAAGTGGTAACATTACAACCTTTCAATCAGTGTATTACCATCTATTAACAATGTAAGAACATCTAACCTAGAGCACATGCATTTGAAATGGATGTTACCATCCTCCCATCACGAATTCTTGACATCAAGCAAACAAACCTGCTATACTCTCATATTCTAACAGTGAAAAAAAGAATTGTCCACCTGTGTTTCAGAAAGGGTCCTCCTATTTTGTGGCAGTTTGTCTTTGTGGCAGCCAACTCTTGAAAGGAAACAGCAGGGCTGATCCTTAGATGTATGCCTAAGACAGTGCCTCATGTGTGGGGTGCAAACACTCTGATCACTGGTGGGACCGGGGTGATTTGATTCATTTACCTGCAGCTGTCTCGTTAAGAAGGATGAGTAATCTAGGGTGC